CCATAAGGACTCCCCTTTCTCTCTTAGCAAAACTCATCAATGGAGAGAGAGACAAAATTAGCTTCTTCGGTATCTCCACTTACCGACTTGGAGCCTTTTGCCGAACCTGCTCCTCCTTTCGGACAATTTCTTTTCACGTGCCCAGATTGTCCACACGTCCAGCAAATCACAACTTGCTTCTTCCTGGAGTTCCTCTTCTTTCCGTCACCGACGAGCATGACTTGACCTTCCGGTGAATTGTTTCGTCCACCGTCTAGCCTTCTCTCTTCCGCAAGAAGTTTACCAGTGACTTCAGAAAATATAATTTTCTCCTTCCCATGAATCAAGATCGGCTTCATGTTTTCATAAGAAGTTGGAAGAGACCAGATGAGTCTCAACGCCTGATCCTCATCATCAATCTTCACTCCAATGGATTCCAGCTCCGAGACGATCCCATTGAGAACGCTTAAGTGGTCTGAGATGCTTTGACCTTCAGTCATTCGCAGTGTGTGAAACTGCTCCTTCAGATACACCCGATTTGAGACGCCTTTAGCCTGATACAACTCCTCAAGCTTGTCCCATAATGCTTTTGCCGTCGAAATTCCATGCACATTAGCAAGAACATTCTTGGCCAGACACAGTCGTATCGCGCTTGCCGCTCTCAAATCCAGTTCCTCCCAATCTTCATCGCTCATTCTAGATTTGCTCACACCAGCTTTTTCTTCAGTGCTGCTGGTAGCACTGCCTTTGGGAATTTCCGAGCCCTTCAAAGCTTTGTGTAACCCCGACTGAATCAGCACGTCCTTCACTTGCACTTGCCACAAGCCAAAGTTGATTTTTCCGTCGAATTTCTCTGCATCAAATCTCGCCAGATTCGATATCTTATTTCCAGACATCTTCGTGAATCAGTGAACACTAAGTTCGCAGAAAACCGAGCAGCAACCTTTAATAGTACTGATCAGATAAATTCTCAGGGAGGGTAGCGACCTGCCCCATAAAGAATTACCCTTCTAAGTAAGCTCCCAGGAAAGGCTGGTGGGGTCACAACGGTCCCACTTAAAAAACCAGTCTCCTAGACAGAACCTACTTACACAGTAATTATTCCCCACTGCCCAAAAAACTCCTTTGCACACAAGCTCCACTCGTCACTGGCTCCACCGCACGAAGAGACCTCTTTGGTATCTTTTCTGATGTGGAAGATCAGACAAAACTGCAACCACAGAGCATACTCAGAATACCAACTAGGCTAACCTCGCTCTGATACCACTTGTTGGGAATTCCAACCACACCGTAACTCCGCCCAAGATCCTCTGAAAATAAAAAACTGGAGAACACAAAATTTAACGTGGAAAACCTTCTGTTAACGAAGAGGGAAAAACCACCAGGGCAACAAGGCCGTAGAAAATCCACTATGTAAAAAAAAAATTACACAATTTTTCTACCACTCTCTTACCCAAAATTACCCCACAAAATTTTCTACTCGTTAACCCTAACTCTCACCCTAAGGAATTTTTACCCTAAGGAATTTTTTACCAGAGATTAATTGTTAACACAATAACTCTGTGGGATGATTTTACATAAGAAGTAGCATTTTCTTATATAGGAGAAAAATCTCCCTCTCTTTCATTCCACAATCGATGTGGGACAAAGAGCAAAACCCAACACTACTCTGGAAACTGTGTTTCCTTTATGGTATAAAAGATAGGTTTAGTAAACACAAACTCAAGTTTTTATCGAGCCAAGCTAAGTTACAACAAGTTATATAAAACATTTTGTTTTCGAGCTTAACGAGCGGTCAATTTTGTAACAAGCTTCATCTATAAACAAGTCGAACTCACGAGTGGTCAATTTCGTTTATCAGATATGTATCATGTATATCCTTTAATTTCTTGTCAATATTTTACAAACACAATGTAGAATTAGAGATTACTTTATCGATGTGGAGTGTAGTCCCTTTATGAAAGCCCAGTGTCAAATAAAATTAAACTTTGAGGAAATTGCATCGTGCGCCATAAATACAATTTTTTATTACATAAATAATGTTCCTTTATAAATATTAGCATATTGACTAAATCTATAAATTTATTTGTAAAAATACCTAAATCAAAATTCTGCGTGATTAATAGTGAGATCTTATCAACTTCCAAATAATTCTCCCCCACTCTCTTCCACTATGAAATCGGTCTCCTCTCTCTCAAGCAGCAACCTGTTTTTTTTTTCATATTTAAACCTGTCGCTACCCTCGATTGGGGAATTTTCGAAACTCTGCAAATCAACCCCGAGCATCCGGCGGCAACCACCATTTGCCGACGGTTGAGTGATGACCTTAGTCAAGGCCAGGCAAACCCGAGCCATCAATGACCGAAGCTCCAATTTCATGGCAACCACGTCGTCCGACCACGAGCAGCGAGTCGTGACCTTGAGCCACCAGATTTCTGACGAGCACCGCGACTGGAGAACCACTATTTGTCGGCTGAAGAGGTGTTGGTGTAGGGTGGTGGTGGCGGGTGGCGGCTGAGAAGTTCATGATCGGGTAAGAGCCGGATCGAAGATCAACTGGCCGAAGCTCCGATTTTTTTAGAATATTTTTCGTTTCATTTTATTGTGTTGTGGATATGTTGCGTATATATGCAGTATATTTTTAGTATGTTCTCGTAACCACAATCGACAGTCTAATGCGTTTTCTGTATATATTATGTATATAATGACAAAATTGATTTATCTTTTGTATATGTGTTGTGTATGTCGTGTATATAATGTGTATATCTTCGTATATAAGTCTGATCGTGTATTTTAAGTAATGTCTTTTAAACAACTTCCTATTTTGTAGGTAGTATATAACATGATTATGTTATGTATCATTGTAATGTACAAAGATCTTCAATTGCGTATCCATCTAAAAAAACCTAAAATAATCAGAACATATACGTGTTATATACGGCAGGACATGATTTCATTTAAAATACAATCAAAAAATATGATTTTAATATCAAATAAATTGATCGAGATGACCAAAAAAAAAAATTACATGCTTCGTGAAAATTATTTTTCCGATTATGGGATTGTTATTGAATTACTCGCTGCTGAAGTCGCTTGGAATTCAAAAGTATTATCTTCCTTATTTCCACTGAACCACCTTCCTTATTATCAGTATTTATTTCCTTTCCATGTTGGTTTTTATCTTTTTTTATCTTGACGTGAAAAGCAGTTTCATAATCACTGATCGGTTACAACTTTTCAGTTTGGTAACTGCATCCTGGCATATCTGCAATTATTTCATACCTATTTTATAGGAGTGTAATACAATAACATCCCATGGTATTTTTACAAATTCTTTATTTTTGCTAAGTATATATAAAATTTCGCCTTTTTCTTTCCTATGCTTTTATAGATGGGCTTGATTTTATTTTCCTTTTCTAAAATTAATAATTAAAGACTTGAGAAAAAAAAAAAAAAAA